TCTGTTCACAACATGTATCGTGATTAATTTAACATTCCTATCGATTTGAATAGTCACATATATGAATCAATTTTCAACCAGCTCCCTGTGAATCGTTACATTCCTAGTTTCAACCGACTCAAATACACATTTACACTGAAATGGTAAAATGTCTACTATAAAATGCTAAAACAGAACTAGAATAAAGCAAATTCTAATTTATCCAAATGCCATATATCTGACTCTGGAGCGCACTTCGAGTTAGAAGTTCTCAAGACTGGCTACTTAGATTGACCCTTCGCAATTACGAATTCATGATGGACACTTTTCAACCACCTAAATTCTTTGCACATAAAAAAAGAGAAAAACTGGCCCCCTTACAGCCTTAATCCCTTTGAATCATCTCTCACTCTATAGTAAAAACCCATCTAATGGATTAGGGCACAGGAATGAGCCCTTCAGAATTGAACGAAGCCGTTTGCTTTGACAGAAAGCCCTTCAAATATTATTCTGACCAATTGGGACCTTGGAGTCAAAAAGGTTGAGAACCACTTGGTTAGAAGCAACGTTTTATTACTGGGCTTCCAGATATGATTAACTGGTAGTGCGTTTGTTGATTATTTCCTGGTGCCATGATGTCAGTCCGGGGGTCTTCAGTATTCTCTCTTTTCACTAAACCTCATTCAACACCTCATGCCACAGCTAAATATGACCAAGACTTTCCCTAATGAACACCACCTATAAATCATGTTTTACACTATTGCAAATGAAAGAGGCAGACACACACTGTAATGTCTTGCTAAACAGCCAGAGAGGTGGAATTAATCACTGAAGTCTAAACGAGAATGATGGACCTCTTGAGCACATTTAGATTGGAGAAAATTTGTATTCGTCCAAGTCGACCAATGAAATGAGGCTAATCTGCAATCACAGTGGGCCATCCATTTCATTTCCCATCAGAGAGAGAAGAGCTCGGGGAGAGGCTTGTTTTGATTACCTTGCATTGGAAATTAGCGGGAGATTTCACAACATGTTTTTTCGCATTTCTCTCAAGGCCACATCAAATAGATGTGATTTTGTAGATTGAGTTTGCAATGATGTTCATGTTCCTTTCAGAATTTGTTAAAGGTTGGTTTGGTTTCCTTTTTATGTTACTGAAAAAAAGCAAAAAATAAAAGAAATCTAAACATTTTCAGTTCATTTTGAAGACAATTTGTCCATCCAAAAGTGACGCATCCTGGGCCAGTGTGAGAGTACATTACAAGCATAGAATAGTGCACTCACTGCATTCCAACAAAATGGTAAGGTTTACACCCTAATTAACACATATTAAACCTCTTTAACATTATAATATGTACATGCTGAATCTCAATTTCAAACGGTTTATTTTATTTTCAAGATCTGAGATTAACTATCTGCTGTTGTTTTCAGTAGTATGGCAATAAATGGCATGTAAAACAGCATTCAAACTCACACTATTACCATTTAACACTGAATAAATCACATGAGGTGTACCTGAGTTGATCATTGTAAGGTTGTCCTGTTGTTCAGCTGCAAGAAATAGAAGGCGTTTATAAAATATAAATTTCAGGTGTTGGTTAGGACAAAAACTTATTGTTAATATGGAAAATATTCTTTCTATTGGGTACTGTTGCTTTCATTTAGAATCTGATTTAAATCAGCCTTTGTTGGTATCATTAATCTGGCAAGCTGCTTTTGCGTATGATTTGAACCAGGGGTGCAATATCTTGTTCAATCACTGGGTGTCAAACTTACATACTGCATTTTTAAGGTCAAGGTGTAGGTCCTAAAAGAGGGTCAGTTTTACCTGTAATAACATGTCAGAGTGTGTGAGGTCAGCCAGGAGCAGTCTAAACAATCCTGATTGATGCAGCAGTCATAGTTTCAGTGCACATCCTCTCCACCCAGAGATCATCAGCTGCGTAACATCAACAGCTGGAGACTGGAGCTGCTCAAACAGGCCTCGCTTTCTTCCCCTCCTTCACATATTGTAGTCGCCAAGGGAAGCTTGGCACAGACTCCGTCATTCTTTAATTTAGAGGGTCTCCTCCTTCAGGAAGACTCACACCGCCTCCACTCTTCCTCCAGCTCCACCCTAACCCCTGCCACTTAAACCTGCATTGTTTTGTTAAGGCTCATTGTGCATTCACACATCTGGATGCTCATGGAGAGAAGCCAATAAAGCTTTTTTTTTTTACTCGTGGTGCTAGAAACAGCTGGACCGGCTGCTGCACGTCTCAAGGTTGACATTTAATCAGAAAGAAGACTGGGACGCTTTCCAGAGTTTAGCGTGGTTTAGGCGTATTAATTTAGCTCATTTCAAGCCGTTTTTCACTGATGTTTGTTTGATTTTTGTTTGTCAGCCACACAGCTGTTGCTTGAAGCCAAACTCATTAGCAAATAATCACTAGATAATCACAGTTATTTATCAGGGTTTCCACAGGTCATGGAATTTCTGGAATATGATGGAATTTTAAAAGGTCTGATCTGGGCATTGAAAGTCAGGGTTGAAGTCATTGAATTATTATTTGTAATACTTTTGTTGTTTTTCTATTCTGTTTTTTATTGTATTGTTTTACTTGTTTTTGCCTTTTGTTATGGTTAAGCAATTTTTTTTCAGAGCAATTTAAGTCCCTTTTCGCTTTTAAACTAATAATAAAATGTATTAATATATTAATAAAGCACAACATCAAGCAGCATAAGATGTTTAGTTTTGCTACAAATTAATGGAAATGAATGAGACTAAGTCTTGACACATTTAAGTAACAGTAACCATATCACTCTTCCATGAGTAATAAGGAAAATGGACATTCATCTTTTTAATCAGTAAGATCAGGGGGAAAACTCAGGGAATTCGAGATTTAGCTTAAAGTGGGACCACTGATAATTATATCATTTATATAATTGTATTTTAATTATATAAATTAGGGGGCTGATATTTTGTCCTCAAGTGTGTGTATTTGTACTAATATTGTGTGTGTGTGTGTGTGTGTGTGTGTGTGTGTGTGTGTGTGTGTGTGTATGTGTGTTTGTATTACATTTTTTAAGCACTTATGCAATAAAAATGACAGGTAAACTGTTCAATTTTACTTGTAAACTTTCAAAAATTTATCAGTAAAGTTGGTCTGGTAATTTTACGGCAATTTACCTGTGTCACTGTGTGAAAGGGCCATTTGTTTGAGCAGTTTCCTAGAATGAGAAGTTATTAAATCACCAGTAAATTGACAGAATTCTGCTCGGTGTGAAAAGTCAATTTTTTAATTTACCTGTAAAGGTGATCTGGTAATTTTAAGGTAATTTACTGGTGTCACTATGTGTAAGGGCCATTTGTTCCAGTAATGTTCTAGAATGAGCAGTTATAAAATCACCAGTAGAATGACTGAAATTTGTTGAGTGTAAACAGCACATTTGCTTTTGTAATTTACCGGTAAAGTTTTTCTGGTAGTTTTACAGCAATTTACCCATGTCACTTTGAGAGGGCTATTTGTTCCAGCAATTTTCTAGAATGAGCCATTATAAAATTACCAGTAAATTGATGGAATTCTGGTGTGTATGGTGAACCACACATTTCTTTATATTTACCAGTAAAGTTGTTCTAATAATTTTAGGTCAATTTACCAGTGTTACTATGTGAAATGGCCATTTGTTCCAGCAATTTCCTAGAATGAGCTGTTATAAAATTACTAGTAAACTAACTGAATTTTCCTGAGTGTATACAGCACATTTATTAATTTACCAGTAAAGTTGTTCTGGTAATTTTACAGCAACATACCAATGACATTATGTGAAAAGGCCATTAGTTCCAGCATTGTTCTAGAATGAGCAGTTATAAAGTTACCAGTAAATTGACTTTTGAAATTTGGTGAGTGTGAATGCACATTTATTAATTTACCGGTAAAGTTGTTCTGGTAATTTTACAGCATTTTGCTGGTGTCACTGTGTGAAAGGCCTTATGACTGTTGACGCAACAAAATTATTTTTATTTTTATAATATATTAGGCTTGCTGCAGAACTAATATTTCACATGTCATGATTTTGCCAAGATGCGATGCGGAATTAAGATCTATGTTGATCCTGAAACATAAGTTTTGTTGGAAAATGTAATCCATACTTATTCTCTACCCCCTTAACCCAACCATAATTGTTAATCATTCGCAAAATCAGAGGGGAATAATAGTTGGATAAGTCATGTACTGTAAGTGCTTAAACCTAACTGTACGCCTAAAATTAATAAAAAATGGTAACCATATCCCTTAATTCTCATTGGCTGCTTGGAATATTGTCCCAGGATCAACATAGATGTTATACCAGGAACATGTCCTACTTGGTGAAATCAGGTTGGCGCTAATATTTTCATTCCCATTTCATCATGTATTCACCATTTAGTCTTTGTTGGGGCGCTCACTAGAATTGCGTTATACTTGGATGCACACAAACAAACCCATGCATCTCACGTAAACTTCTTCACAGCTCCCTCTACTTTTCATTATCTCAGCACACGTATCATTCACAAGATTTATACATTTGTCTTAACTGTTGTCTTGAGTTTTCTGAGCTGCATCATGAAGGTTGAGGGAGGTTAAGAGGGTTATACTTGCGTTATACTTAGATGCCCACACACAAACCCATGCATCTCACGTAAACTTCTTCACAGCTCCCTCTACTTTACATTATCTCAGCACACGTATCATTCACAAGATTTATACATTTGTCTTAACTGTTGTCCTGAGTTTTCTGAGCATCATGAAGGTTGAGGGAGGTTAAGAGGTTCATGATTGTTTTATGCAGAGCCATGCATACACATGTGCAAAAACAGTCTGGTGTCTGAAAATTCCATGTGTTTATGTGTGCAGAAAAACTGAATGTGGAAAGTAACAGCATAAAATTGTTATTCATGTTTTAACGAATACTATTTATATCTCAAATTGAAAACAAAATGACTATAAAAGTAGTTTCTTCCAACTATACAAAACTGATTAAGTACTGTTGTATCTCTCCAGGTAAGGTGTTGAACACAGATCTGCGTCACTACCTCAGCCTGCAGTTCCAGAAAGGCTCTTTGGACCACAAGCTCCAGCAGGTGATCCGGGATAATCTGTACCTGCGCACTATTCCCTGTGAGTACACACACATTCACACTCTCATCTCATTAAATGTGTTAGTGCAGACTACACTCACCTCTGTGTAGCCATCACACACCGGCTGATCAGACAATAATTACAGTGTCAGTAACACAGTCTTTGCTCTGTAATTTCAAAAGGTGGGATGATGGGCAATGGGAGCACTTTGGATTGGTTACAGTATATTAGTTTTAGCACTTTAGCTGTGCATGCAACCACTCCCTTTTTCTTATACTATATCATATAGTGTTGCTGTGTAGTTGATTATATTATTATTATAAGAAATTAACTTTAAGTCACTTCCATCAATTAGATTTTAGCATAGGGGGAGGGTGAACAAACTCCAGATTAAGGCTAATATATGTGCTGTCCTTTAATGCATTTAAAAAGATTTGCATCCAACAAATAAATAAAATTTACCAAAAGCACAGTCTATCACCAATTTTCTATTATATTCAACATGCAAATTAAATTGTTTTATTAAACTGACCCACTAATCTACACTATACCGGTCAAAAGTTTGGGGTCAGTTTATTATTTTTTTTAAATTAATCATTTTATTTAATAGTTTACTTAACATTATTCTGTTCAGCAAGGCGGCATTTATTAAATATATATAAAAATATTAAATAGTTTAGTACTTAATAAATATTCATTTATTACTTGTACTGTATGTAGTTTCAAATGAAATTATTACTCCTTGTTGCTTTTATTACCATTACCATAATAATAAACATTAATAATAATAATAATAAAGCCTGGAAGGGCATCCACTGCGTAAAACATATGCTGGAATAGTTGGCAGTTCATTCTGCTGCGGTGACCTCTGAAATAGACTATACCAGGGGTGGCCAACCCTGTTCCTGGAGAGCCACCTTCCTGCATATTTCAGCTCAGCAACTCATATCAAACACACCTGCCTATAATTATCACATGGTGTTCAGGTCCTAATTAATTGTGTGTTTGATATGGGTAGCAACTGAAATCTGCAGGAAGGTGGCTCTCCAGGAACAGGGTTGGCCACCCCTGGACTAAACCGAAGGAAAATTATTGAATGAAAGAATAAGTGCACCGTTTTAAGGATCAAGAGAGTTAATCCGCAGATCCTCTAAAAAGGGGTGCCAGATCTTTTTGAAGGTTTTTAAAGAACCAGATAAGTTTTATGAAAAGCCGCAAATATAAAAAATATTTAGGATGAAATTATAAAATGAGGGTTAAAGCAGCAGCCAGCATAACAGTAATGCATTCTTGACATAACTATGATCATTGCTGTGGATGCTAAAATCACCATAATAGTTGACATTCTTTGTGTAAATCAGTCTTTTTGAATTTGCACATCTTGGCTGATATAATTATAATCTTGATCATGCTTGATTCTCCCCATTTCTCTTGTTCTAAATTTAGTTTCCATACTTCCAATGCCTTTACTGTTTGATCCATTGTCATTTAATCATGATCGATTAAACCGGTTGGGTAATGCAGAAATTCTTGGCTCAGTAATTTCTTGGCAGTGTTTTTCAGACACAGACTGTCTGGAGGAAAGCAACCATCTTTTTTACTTAACTACATCAATGCCAGAAAACTAGTACATAATAACAAAATGTATGTTTCTCTCTCTCCATCTCCCTCTCCCTCTCTCCCTCTCTCTTTATCTCTCTCTCTCGTCGTGCTAAATTTGTGGTCTGGCCACAAACCAGTGATTTAGAGAAACATATGCCTTAATTACTCGCACATCTTTAATTAGGGTTTTTTTCTCTCAGGCTGTGGTGTAATCGTTTAATTAGTGCTGTTTATTAAGGCACTTATCTGTTAATGTTGCTCATACTTAGGGGTAGAGATTTCAAAGAAAATGCTGTTCACACAAAAATGACAATTGTGTAATCATCTTTTCTCTCTCATGTTGTTTCAAACCTGTCTGAGAAACACAAAAGAAGACGTTTCACAAAAGTCTCCATTTTTTTGTTTATTTGATATACAATGAAAGTCAGTGGGATTTAGGACTGTTTTGGACCCCACTGAGTGTCATTGAAAATTTCACAGACAAGAACAGTTGAAATGTTCTTCAGAAAGTCTTTTCTACTGCGCTACAGATGAAAGAAAAGCCAGAGCCTCAGAGACTTGAAGATCACACACACACGGGGTGGGATTTTATAACCTTAACCCTATAAACTCCGAGTATCATATCTGACACAATTCTAGACTTCTAAATGATTAAAGCTTTGCTTGAAATGCTCCCTGGTGCCTTGTTGGTGCTTTGGTGCAATTTAATGAGTCCAAAAATTAAATTTAGTGTAATTGTGAAATTGTTAAGTTAAGGTCTTTTTTGTGTGAATTATGTTAATTCTTGCAGGTTTTTATGTAAGACTAACTTTTTTTAAGTTTAGAGTCCATTTTAGAATTATTTAGAATTGTTTATCAATATTATTTTAATTGTGTTTAATTGTATTTTAATTAATATTTTAATTTGACATTTTTTTAAAATGGTTAAAATATAAAAATCCAGCAGTCTCACAATAAAACAGGGCTACAGAGCTTTTCATATAAATATAGCATTTTTTATTTTAATAATAATTCTATTTGATGATGATGATGATAATGATAATAATATTAATAATAATAAAAACAACAACAACAACATAATAATTATAATTAATGATAATATATTATAATAAGTAGTAGTAGTAGTAGGCGATGCAGTGGCGCAGTGGGTAGCACGTTCGCCTCACAGCAAGAAGGTCGCTGGGTCGCTGCCGGGTCAGTTGCCGTTTCTGTGTGGAGTTTGCATGTTCTACCTGCGTTTGCGTGGGTTTCCTCCTGGTGCTCTGGTTTCCCCCACAGTCCAAAGACATGCAGTACAGGTGAATTGGGTAGGCTAAATTGTCTGTATATTTTATTATATACTATATTTATATGAGTGTTTATGTGAATGTTTCCCAAAGATGGGTTGCGGCTGGAAGGGCATCCGCTGCTTAAACACTTGCTGGATAAGTTGGCGGTTCATTCTGCTGTGGCGACCCCAGAATAATAAAGGGACTAAGCCGACAAGAAAATGAATGAATGAGTAGTAGTAGTAATAATAATAACAATAATAATAATAATATCAAATGCAAAGCTGGCTTTTAATTATAGAGCAAAAAAAACGGAAAACTTTTAATTTTATATGTGATTATACATTTCTACCATTATAACAGCCTTTTTCATTTAATAATCATGCATCCTGCATTTTGAATTATTGTTAGAATATTTTAAATGGTTATTCTCTGGGTGTTAATTGACATTTTTACTGGATTCGAACAAAACTTGAAAACACTGTAGGTATGACTCTCTTAAAACTGATTTGTTTACTCTCATTTGGCTCTTTGTGTATGTTAATTTTAATGGAATATTGAATGAACCAAAAAATGTATGGATTGAATATGATACTCAGCATACCCACATACGCATTTTTAATCTATTTTTTAATACAATTCCCAATTCTACCCCTTTACCCATCCCTTACAGCCTTACTATGAAGGAGTCGGGGTGTCCCAATTCTCTTTAGCTAAGGGGAAGCGCTGAATAGCCCTTAAAACTGAGATTTTTCAGAACCACACTCAAAACCAAGGGGTACAAAAATTTTCCAGAATACACCATCTAAAACGACAGTATAGCTTCACTTTCAGGAGATGCGCAAATGAGTAATTTTTTGTCAGTATTATGTATTTTTACAATAAACAAACCTATGTTTTAATACATTCATAACCGTCATGCTTTTAAATTAAAACGGCTAAATATTGCTATCTATAATCCATAATAATAACAACTCCTATATAGAAGTCCCACAACATACATTTTTAAATCTGTCACTCAATGACACTGAAATACCCTGTCAGAAAAGTCTAGTGGTTGGGAATGACCTTTTTACAGTGTCTGCTATAATGTAAATGTTTTTTTCTTTTGTTTACATAGATGAATATGGCCCCGATGTAAATGCACAGTACAGTTACAAGCTTATTGCCACATCATTATGATAACATAATACTGTTACCTTCAGTGATTTCTTAAAGATAAAAGGCAAAAAAATAATGCAACTTGAATAACTGCAGCAGTCGGGATTGTCAGTCTCATATGTAGTAAGAGATTGCAATGACATGTGATGACGTGTGCAGGTGTTGTAGTGCTGTCCCATTTTTAGGGGTTAATTTTGAAGCCCTTCCTCTTCACACCCTCTTTGAAGGGCCAAGAAGTAGGGGTATAAAAATAGAATTGGGTTTGGGCCTTATTTTTATTTATGTCCGGCTTTACCTGGGGCCTGTTTCAGTAAGGAGGTTCAAACAACTCAGAGTTTAAACTTGAACTCTGAGTTGATTTACCGAGAGATTAAAAACTCTGAGTTTTCAGTTTCAGAACAGCTGATCTGAGTTGGGTCAATCAACTTCGAGTAGACCAACTCAGAGTTAAGCGCGCACACCGTGACTTTAAAAAGGCATTATGGAGCGCAGACATTACGAGTGACTATGGCAACATCTTATAAAAGAGATCACCATTTCTTTCTCCAGCTGAACTTGTTCTCATGCAAAGTTATAGCAAATATGAGTGTATATATTTGAAAAGAAGCAACCATCAGTGAAGAAGAGACAGTTAGCGTGGGAAAACAGCTGTTCAAGTTAATGCCTAATTTCACTTTTTAAGTATTTAAATATTTAAGTATAATAAAATAAGTAATGTAATTTGTGATGTTTATATTTTTTTCTAAACTTTTTTTTTATACATTTATTAGTTTTAAATGATTTAACAGTGCACTTGTGTGTCTGCCTTTTTTATTGATCAAGTGATAGAGGTTAATATAACATTTAGAAGGTAAGCAGTACTAAAAATAATTTTTAGAAAGAATAATAATCCCATTAATCTAGTTACATGCATGTCGAAGGTGAATTTAATTTAATTATTTATTAAAAAAGGAAGCCATTCTCATACAGTTCTTCTGTGTGTGACTAAAATGTAGGCAATAGCTATAT